AATTTCTACTGGTCTACAATACTGCTAAGTATCTATAACAATAATTTACTGTATGTTTTCAAGTGGCTAGAAGAGAGGAGCTCAAATGCTCTCATAAGAAAGAAATGATAAATTTTTGCAATAACAAATATGCTAATTACCCTGATTTGATCATCACATGTTGTAGGCTTGTATTGAAATATAACTCTGTATCCCATAAATATGTATAATTAATGTGTGTCAATTAAAAAATAATTTAAAAAATGTAAAGGCAAACTATAACTATTTCTTGGTTGATAACTACACTGTGTGTCAGCTGTAGACTATTTACCTTATACACTCTTTTTTTGCTAATCATATGTAAACCCTCTTCATTTTTTACAACTTCCTTTTTGTGGAGGAAGTCATCGAAGTGATTTCCTACCACTGAATACAGATTATTTTGAGGTGAATTTATAAAATTGTGTTATTTCACATTAATGGTTATTTCTCATATATTCTTATAATAGGAGTGCATAAGTTAAACCTGCCATTAACAAATTGACATTTTTGGGGAGCCTCTGCTTGGGATATCAGTAGTTAAGATTCTGCTTGTCTTTGCCATTTTTCAACAAAGGTATTATAAAGCTAAGTGTAAAATATGACATCTGGAATGAAGATATAAGAAACATGAATTTTTTTTTCAAAAATTGAGTGGAAGTATCTTGAGAAATAGGAACATATAGAGAAATCAATAGAAAAATACTTTCAGTTTATAGCAATTATTCTAATATGCTGTGTAATTAATGATCAGGAACTTTTTGTTCCTCAGCCATGATAGTGATACTTTTAAGCTATCACCAGTAGGACATTTAATTATTTCACTACTAATGACTGGATCCCTAAAACAATATCTTACATTCATATGGTCTTGTATAACTCACATCCTTTTGTATATATCATTTTACCATCACAACAGTTTTGTAATATAGCTGGAATGTGTATGTTTTAAATTTTAAAGATACACAAACCTAGAAATTGCAGAGCCAGTGCTTAAATCCTGTTATTCATCTACGTTGCTCATACCACTGCATACTACATACTAAATCAGTGCTCTTAGATGTAAACATTTGTTATAGTCTGTAACTTTAAAACAAACTTTTCTTTATAGAATTTACTGGATTTGGGATGGATCAGATTATGACATTTTTTTCCTCAGTACTCTAGTCAAATAATATATAAATTATTACATTATTAATTGAAAGTAGTCCTACTGTATTTGTTTTGAAAAGCAGTTAGCTTCTTCATATACTTCTAAAGTAGCCTTTTCTTTCATATCAACCCAGTCTTGAATTATGTCAAAACTGACAGGCTTAAAGCACAGGGAAATTAGTTGTAAAATGCATATTGCCTATTCAACTTAGAGGGTTGAGAGTGAGTTTTTGGAGAACATATGGTGATCATGATAAATGGAAGAATCTTTAATATGCATTAGGGAGAAAACTGCTTATTGAAGTTTGAAGGGAAGGAAGACCTTTACCTTTCTC